AATGCCAATGTGGATTTCATTTGCTTTAATAATTTCCAGAAAAACAAACTACTAAGTAAAATCCATATGGGAACAGGATACATCTGTGAAAAGAAGAGAAAAATGACCTTCCTTTTTAAACAGGAAAGCAGGCTGCCCCAGTGCTAGATATTCAGATAATGGGAAATTAAAAATAGGACAATTCAGCTCAATTACATATTATTTTTCACAAATTGTCAGAAGTTATAATGTAGTTTGGTTTGATTTGTTTTGGTTTAGAACAATCTGCAAAACCAGCCAATTATTAGTCAACAAATCATTGTTAAGATAAACCTAACCTTAAATAATAGCATTATTTTGTGGCCTTTTCATATGCAATTACAGGCTTCAGAATAGTTTAGGGGTCTTTTAAAATAATGCTTTTCAAATTAACTAGTTTAAATTATGACAAAAACAATAGCTCAGCAGAAAAAAAATAGTTAAGTATTCATACATACATTCATACATTGTGTCAAACAAAATAGTGTTATGTACTCACAAATTCAATAATGTTCACAAGACTAGAAAGCAAGTTTAGGTTTGCAGTCGGATATTTGAAAATATTATAATTGTTTATTTTAATAGGTGAGGTTACACAAAAGACAAATAGGGCGTGTACATATGTACACAGGCTGTTATATCCAGTGGCTCGCATCTGTCAACCAGTGTGAGAGCAGGAAACCATGATCTGATTTTTATTTTGGCCAAATAGTCAAGAACAATGTCAAATTTATTATTTTTAATTAGTTGTATAACCAGCTTTCACAAAATATTCCTAATTAGGAAACTAAATAACAACATACCGACTAAATACAGAATTATAATTAAACTAAAAATAAGTAAATATCATCACTAAATAGCATAAAGATCTAAAGCTCCCCATCATAGAGTAGATTACATCTGGAAACTGAGGCAAAAATCCCTTAAGAGAAGACTCCCAAGACTGAAGTGCCATCAAAGTCACTGTTGAATTACATGGAATAAAATTCCATGGAATATTACAGAGGGTAATAATAACCAATCTAATGTACAGAAAAGAAACAAAACTTATGAGCAAGTCTATTTCTAAGTAAAGTCCTGTTCACAAGCAAAAAAGGAGATCTACTGACCTTCTTTAACAGAGTTGATTAGCTTAATAAGCTACCTGTTCCTAGCTGGACCTGAACCTTGGATTTTGTTTGTATTTGGTTCCTGTTGACCAAGGAAAGTTTTAGGGTAAATCATAAAGCTGTATTTTAATATATCAGCTCACTTGCACTGATATTCTATGAAGGAAATGCCCTTTCTGTACAATTAAATTCAGACAATGTTGCCTGGTTCTGTGTCAGAGAAATGTAAACAATTGACTGAAGTGATGCTGAGCCTTATCTAACTCAATATATTTTATCCTAGTTTCCATCCTCCCCCCTCCTTTTTTCCCTTTTAAATGAAAAACACCATTCTATGTTGTATTTTGTTGTTGTTGTAGTTGGCTGGATCGTAACTGTCATAATTTCAACAAATCCTAATAAGAGTTTCAGCGAGTATTAGACTCAATATAAGTTAACACAGCTTTACCTTCTCACAGTATTCTACAAACCCTAGTACTTTTACTGCAGTTTCTATTTTAGTTATATGTGGCATTTAGACTATTGATTTAAATAGTTTTATAGGTCTCAACCAGATTTTAATCCCTGTACTTTGTTAATTTTAAGTTAATAATTTTACTTTATTTTATTCTATTATTTTTCTTAATTTTTACTTTAGAAGGACTGTTATGTAAACAGTTTTATGCTGACCTATAATCAAAACAAACAATTAAATGAAATCAATTGAAATGATAATTAAAGAGTGTGGTTCATAAGTTTAGTGCTTTATCTTAACAGATCTTTTGGTGACTGGCTCAAACAAAAATCGTCTAGGAGTGCCCTTCAAGTATGTACATATAGGTGTTTCTACCCACTTTTCCTCATGACATTCTTCCCACCATTTCCCACACTTGTTCACTTCAAAGTCAGCAAACTATTTCAAATTATTTTTGAAAGTCAGCAAACACAATCATGGGCCAAGTTAAAAGTTTAAAACTAAAGTTTATATCATGGTTGCAATTCTTAATTTATTAACCCATAGTAAAGTTTAACTGAACTCAGTAGGTTGTTCTTTTGACCAGACTAACCTACAATTATTTTTCACCTTTTACCATTTGGAGGTACATAATACAAAAAAATATATTAGCAGGAGTAAAAAAAAAAACAGAAAAAATCTTTTTTCTATCCTTATTTATATTCCACCTCTCATTCAGGAGCTCAAGGTGACACATGTTTTACACTCCCTATTTTTTCCCAAAGCAGGCTTCTGAGGTAGATTGGATTGAGACAGTATGACTCTGCCAAAGAACTCAAATTAACTTCCATGGTTGAGGGTGGACCAGAACCTGAATCTCTCCATTCCTAGACTAATGTTTTCAGTGCTCCACACGTTGGCTCTAAAGTTACATTATTAACTTCTACTTTTCTGTTCTCTTATCTCTCCATTCTTTGTTCAAACTCCAAGATATTTAACAAATACATAACAGAAACAAAGAATTATGAGGACTTCAGGATTCTTTACTGGGTTTTAGTTATGGACTTATATATTACCCTGTTTATGTTTTCCCTAATATTGCAAGTTCTGCCTATGCATCTATTTGACTCTGTATGTTTATTCATTTTTCACTAAACAGGTAATCTTCAATTTACAACCATTTGTTCAGCAACTATTTGGATTTACAACAGCACTGAAAATATGATTTATAGCCACTTTTTCCACTTATGACCATCGCAGCATCCCTATGTTCCCATGATCAAAATCTGGGTGCTTTGCAACCTGCATATATTTATGATGGTTGCAGCCTCCTGGGGTCATGGGATCACCATCTGTGACCTTTTCAGTGGCTTCCAACAAGGAAAGTCATTGAGGAAAGCCAGATTTGCTTAATGACAGGTTGATTCACTCAACTGTGATGTGATTGATTCACTTAACAACAGTAGCAAAAAAAAAAAAGTCATGACTCACTTAAACCTTGGCTTAGCAATAGAAATTCTGATCCCAATTGTGGTCATAAGTCGAGGACTACTTATAAAGCTACTACCAAGTCCTTTCAACACAAAAGTATTCAATGTATTCAGCTGCAAGTAAATATTTCCCAGGTATAGTCTTATTGAAGAAAATATATTTAACACCACTATAGAAACTGCTTTAATTTCCCTCATCTATTGCCCAAGGTAAGCCCAAGTTTGAAAATACATGGACCTATGTAAAAATCAAGATTGGTATTAAATGCTTCTGGAAAACACAACCTGTTCTATGAGATTGCAAGCATTACTTAGCGCTTTTGCAACTGTTCTTAAACATAGTGAAACCTGATCTTAAACAAAAAAAATAGGGAAGAAGTGACCTGGCATCAGGTGCACAGGAGAAAGCCAAAAAAACCACTTTTTTTTTGATGATCACTCAGCTTCCTTAAGGAAAGGATATTCTTTTGTTGCTAACCCTAACTGCCCATAAATTTAAGACAGAATTACTCCAGTGCAGAGAAATTAAAATTGACATTTTGAAATTAATAAGTCTCTCTGCATTACTTCACTATAATTGCCTCTCAGAATGGTAACTAAATTTAAGCATTTGTAAAGTGCAGAGAATTACTTGTATTTTCAACCAAGAGTTCCACAAGGTAAGTAGTTCTATATGTTCCAGATTCACATTTCAAACTTTTTAGACACAGAACTAGATAGGGTTTTTTTAAGTGACAAGTTCTCATTCCTCAAATACAAAGTAAAGGCCTTTCTTTGGCAACCAGCACTTTAGACTTTCCAACCTGCTTCTATAGTGCCTGGGATGTTTCTGAAGTTGTAACAGCTGTTGTACTTGCCAGGACTGTTCTCAGTGATTGCTGGTTTTGCCTGTAGGCTACTAATTATTACTTGATAATTTTTCTCCCTGATAATACCTCTGTGCACCTGACATCAGCCTGCCGCCCTAAGCAATTCTTATTCTCCAAGCTTCCAGGAAAAAAAAATAGAAATTAAGAATAAATAATGGAGCTCAAGGCAGCTTACATGGGAACATCATTAATGTGTTCCCATGAGAACAACACTAAGGAGTAGATTAGGCGGAGGCATACAGTAGCAACTGGCCTAAAATCAACCAGTAAGTTTCTCTGGCTGAGGACTTGAACCTGGGTTTTCCCCGGTTCTAGAACATTTTAACCACTGTTCCACTCTCTGAAAGATCCAACATAGCTCAACAAAATATAGATAAAATAGATGTCATCAACACAGTTCCATGATTCAGAGAGAGGCAAAGACTTGAGTTTCAAATGTTACCCATGTTGTGATTGTTATTTTGGTGAATCCTGTGGCTTTCTATCAATTGCACAGCATTACTAACAGGCTATCTTACCGATTTTCACACCGATTTCCTTGCATCTTATTCTAACCGGTTCTCCCGCTATAGTCAGGTGGATACCGTTCTTAGGCCTAAATCCTGAAAGCTCTGAATGAAAGCCAGGTAGCTTAAGGTCTGAACTTCAGGAGAGCCATAACGGATGGAGGGTTCCACCGATTTGTGGGGGTGCCAGGTGAGGCAGGTAGCAAACTGGAAGCCTATGGAGTCGAGACGCTGCAAAGGCAAAGGGTTGGCAAACCCAGCACTGGTTGTGGATGCCCGTGCCCGTCAAGGCTTAGCCATTTCTCATGAACCAAAGCATCACCAGCTCTTCTCCAATGTGTCCCCGAACCCAATACCCCAGACCGGCGGTGAGAGAGATCCTGTTGCGACCCCAGCCGAAGGTATCCCCGCCGATGCCACCCCGAAAGCTCGCTTCTGATAAAATGTCCTGGCCGACCAGCCCTCCGCCAAAAGCCCACTCAAAAGGCCTCCCACCCACCCCCGTGGCCACCTGCCCCGGGCGCCTCTGCTGTAAAGCAGCAACCTGGGCCGGGCTGTTTTTGCAAGCCGCTCACCTGGGTCTTAGTGGTGAGCTGGATCACAGCCTTCCTGAAGTTGAGCTTGGAGTCGGCGTTACCCATCCTCCCGCACCAGGATCCGGCTCCGCTTCCCTTCCCTGCTCCCGCCTTGCCCTCTGCTTCGCTCGCTCGCCGGCGGTCTCTCACTGCGGCGGTAGCCGTGCCCTCCTTTTCCTCCTCTGCCGCCGCCCGTCCCGCTAATCTCCCTCGTCCTCGCCCCCTCTGCCAGACGCGGTGGGCTCCATCAGCGCTGTGCTCCGTCCACCTGCTCCCTGCAGGCTAGCTGGTCTCCTCCCGCTTGTCAAAGGCAGCTGAGGCTATTCCCGGCTCTGATCCCGCCTTTCCTGATCGTCAGAGGCGCGGCCCCGCCTCGCTTTCGCTCAGTTACACGACAGCCGTCTCCTTTCCCCGCCACGGCTCTGGAGAGCCGCCGGCTGGTTCCTCCCTGCTGGCTGGCCAGTCCCGCTGGGTCGAGCGCTATTTCTCCACCACCACCTTCCCCACCGGCGAAGGCGTCTCTTCGTACCCCCCTCAACGCCGGACGAGCATCCCGCTGCCGCCTCGTCAGAATCCGGCCCCCACCCGTCTCTAATTCGGCCTGTCGCTTTTCCCCTCGCTGCCTGCCTCGTTAGTCGGAAATCCGTGTTTAAAAGCGAGGCAGCTCAGGTCGGGAGGAGGGGAAATGCCGTTCTACAAGGTCCCTTCTTCCCCACATTTTTCTTGGCTGCTTGCCCTTGAAATAGATCCTTAGGTATTTCCTCCTTTTAGGCACATTTGTTTTGTACTTTGAATCATGCTCATTCATTGTGGTTTCATATCCCATCTCTTGCCCTTCTCTCCTCTCTCTCTTCCCCCCATTCTTCCCAACCACTACCAGCCTCTGAGGTAGGTAGAACTGGGCTGAGAGAAGGTGACTACCCCCAAAGTGATCTTGCAATGCTGGGAGTAGCTTTGAAGCTAGGTCTCTGCAGGGCCAGTCCAAACCCTGATTTTTTTCAAAAAAAAATTGATACCTTTCTAATCACATTAACTCCATAAAGTTTATCCAGAGTGGGTCTATAATAGGAACTCATTAATTTACAAGAATCTCTCACACACAAACAAGCATTTTTAGTATTTGACAATAATAATACTGTATGGCAATAAAATAACTCAGTTTGCCTGCCTTAATTGTGTTCAAAATTTGCCAAGCGAGACAGCTTCCCCACTGTACCTCAGAGGAAGCTAAGTCTGTAAAATGATCCCTCACTTCCTTTCATTAGCCTCTCTTTGACATTATTTATTTATTGCTTCATCCCTTCTCCCTCCTTCCCAGCAGCACAATATTCAATGAGGACACTTTAAAACCTTATTCTCTTTATAATTCACTCTCCATGTGTTTACGCATAATCTGGATTGTTAACATGAAGTTATGTTTTCCCCTTTTAAATGTTTAAATGCTAGTTATTAAAGATCATATTTTTAAGTGTAAACATATATTAGTAACTTGGTTGCAATTCTAATTACCTTAATTGAAGGAAGTACAATCAATGGGCTTTCTGTGTGTGTGTGTGTGTATATATATATATATATATAGGGTTCCACTGCAGAATATCAAATTAAATATGGTAATTTTTAATTTGCCTGTTCTCAACAAAAGTACTCAAAGTGGCTAATAATAATATGCAAATAAAGTAACAATGTCATTAAATATTAAAACTCATCAATTTAAAACCTCATTTAATAAAATCACATTAACCGAAAATGAATGGCAACCCTTCCCAGCTTGAAATTTATTTTAATAATAAGTTAGCCCTAGTAAGACACTGAAATCTTGAATAAAAATTGTTACAAGAAAGAATATAGGAATAGGGTTAGCCTTGGCTTCTTTGATTTAGCTTTGACTTTAGCTTTCTTAGTCTTTGGCTTTCAGTGTAATGAGCAAAAACTACCCTTCTATGAAGATGAGCCAATGTGCACCTGGATTTTGTTTATTGACAGTTACTAGCCAGTTTATGAGTATGAAAATTCTTTCTTACATTGGCACTGAGCATATGTACTCTATCCCTGCCAGACAACTATAAGTACCCAACAAAATTTACTGCCTTCCTTGAATGATACAGCTAACATCAGATGATTTCCCACCAACTCCCTTAGGATTTATAATAAGCCCTAAGGGACGTTGAAACTATGAATTTAGGCCACTATATGAATTTTTTGGGGGGTGCAAGCAATATTTTTGAGGATTCAGTCGAGACTGTCAACATGAGATTTGCTGCCTTCATCAAGAAAAAAAAATTGTGGGAATTTCAGCAATTAGCTCAGTATATATATTGGGATGAAAACCTTAACTAACAAATTCAGAAAAAAACCTAACAGATAAAATCAGAGATGAGCTAACTATACAGAGACACAATGATGCATTAATTCAAATCTGCTTGGGCACACAGAGAACATGATTATTTTGTCTCTGATCATGGCTTTGTTGGACTGTATGGATAGGCATCACTAACCAGTGTCATATTTTTCCTGCTTCCAGGCAAGGTTTAAATGATCATAGACCTCAGAAATACCTTCACTGTTATGTACCTATGGCTGAATTCACTTCCACTCAGTTGGCACCTTAAAACTACCAATAATATGCCTGTTATCCATGTCTACTGCCAATTGCGAATTACGAAATCTTTTTGTTTTCTTTAGGAATGTTAGACTGTCAGTACTTGCTGAAGGATCAGCTACTTCATGCAAGCCTTCCTACAAGCGATCTTGTGATCATCACTGCCAGGATGACCAACATCAGTGATGGGTATCAAGCCTAGCTTTTCCCCAGAATTTCCCCTCCAGGTGACTATCTAAGATGAATGCCTAGGTTGTTAGATCATTCTCGGTGATAGCATTAATCAGGTCTATGGCTTTTTATTTGCAATTTCCAGGCATATTGAAAATGCATCCTATTTTCCACTAATTCCTTCTGATCCTAGAATGTCCTCCTCTACTCATTCCCACATCTTGGTGTAGGTTAGGAAGCATTTGTAGTATAGTGTATTTTAGAATAGAATAGAAAATAAAATAGGATAGGATAGGATAGGATAAAATTCTTTATTGGCCAAGTGTGATTGGACACACAAGGAATTTGTCTTGGTGCATATGCTCTCAGTGTACATAAAAGAAAAGATACGTTCATCAAGAATCATAAGGTACAACACTTAATGATAGTCATAGGGTACAAATAAGCAATCAAATCATATTAGGAAACAGTCAATATAAATCATAAGGATACAAGCAACAAAATTATAGTCATACAGTCTGCCACCAATAGCCTCCCACCGGCCAGTACGCTCGCACAGAGTGGGCCTCCTCAGGGTGCCGTCCGCCAGACAATGTCGGCTGACGACTCCCAGGGGGAGAACCTTCTCTGTGGCGGCGCCCACCCTCTGGAACAACCTCCCCCCAGAGATACGTACAATAACAGACCTCCGGATTTTTCGTCGGGCCCTGAAAACCCATTTATTTCAACTAGCTGGGCTGGCTTGAGTTAATTTTAAATTGATTTTAAATTGGGTTGTTTTAATTTACGGCCAATAATATTTAATTATTTTAAATTGCTTTTAAATTTTGTATGTATTGTTTTTTACTCTGGCTGTTCACCACCCTGAGTCCTATTCTGGAGAAGGGCGGTATAGAAATTTAAATAATAAATAAATAATAAATAAATAAATAAGTGGAAGGAGATGGATGGTAGGAACGATGACAAGATTAATAGTAGTGCAGACTTAGTAAACAGTGTTGAGGGAATTGTTTAGCAGAGTGATGGTGTTGGGGGGAAAAACTGTTCTTGTGTCTAGTTGTTCTGGTGTGCAGTGCTCTATAGCCTCGTTTTGAGGGTATGAGTTGAAACAGTTTATGTCCAGGATGCAAGGAGTCTGTAAATATTTTCACAGCCCTCTTTTTGACTCATGCACTATACAGGTCCTCAATGGAAGGCAGGTTGGTAGTAATTGTTTTTTCTGCAGTTCTAATTATCCTCTGAAGTCTTTTATACTTTCAAGTTCTTTTGGACGCAATGAAGTTGAAGAAAAGACTTCTCTTTCCTCTATCTCAAGTCAGGAAGGGAGAGTAGTGGAAAGTTCTGAAATGGGTGAGTACTTAACAGAATTGCAGAGATGGAAACAGTGCCCCCATTCCTGCTGTCTTGACTGAGGAGATCTGAAAGAGGCAAGATGGAGCCTGGAGAAGCGAACAGAATGAAGGTTGAGGCTGAAACCAATGGTTCCCCAAGCAGAGATGGCCGTTATGCTAAGCATGCAAAAAACCCTCTGCTTCAGAGCCAAGTACAATGCCAAGAATCCTTTAATTTATGGAAATAAGAGGGGGAAAACACTAAAGTACATTTCTCACCATTACACTTGCAATCATCTATTTTGTGTAGCTTTATTCTTGTCTTTATTATTTAACAATAAAGATTCTAATCTATCATAGAATTGTCTTTTGAGATTAAACTAAGCCATGAAGCTAAACCATCTGATCTGCGATTTATTACTGAGCCAGCAAAGTTAATTTAATTTAAATTTTAACTTGGTTAAAACTAAGTTTGGCACACTTTTGAAGTGGTTTTGAGATTGAATGCAAGGCTTTGAGGGCACATCTGCCTCTTGGCTATCAGTTATACACCTCTATCCTAAATCTTAAGGTTACTTATTCTCATTTTTTTTCTTCTATTTTTATTCTTTGCTTTTGCCCTTCATTGTAATTCTTAAAATAAATCTCAGCTACATCATCCAGCAGTATCATATTTCATTAAATGCCTCAACTGAAATTATGGGATTATCCAGAACAATGAAAAAGCTTTTTATCCAATACCAAATATCTCTGCATTGTATTCAAGCAGCATTTGAATAAATGCTTTTAATACTTTCAAAGACTCCTATAGACTAGGTTCTAGTGTAGATATAATGTAGGACCAAATTTGAAATGCGAATTTTATGTATTAAAGCAAATCATGGTCTCATGAATGAAAAAACCCTGACAATGAAAATAGACACCAAATTGGAGATTATTTGGTCTATTGACATCATTAAGTCAATTTTGTATGGATGAATACATTTTGTATGCATGAATAAGTAAATCTACCTGGATACCTCTCAGGATTAAAACTGTTTAGCCTACTCTGAGTTAGTTAGGCCCTATCCTCATTCATAGTTGTACAATCATGCATGAACCCAAAGTTTCTCCTCACTCATACATTTTCCTCATTTCACTCCCAACCCATGAATGAAGTAGCCTACAGGTATCCTTAGACTTTCTCCCATTATGCCAAATAACAAGTGCAAGATGTGAAAAAAAATCTGTTATGCTTTATAGTACAACCTGTTATCTTGGAGATGAGGTTAAATTATCTATTTTAGATACGATCAGAGGCATATTTTGAGTTTTAGGAACCACAGATGTTCCCTTCTGGTCACTAGTTAGCCTCTGTTGCAGCCAATGTTTTTTCCAATAATTTTCTTCCAATATTT